ATTTGGGGACCAAGGAAACAAGATATTGCGCCAGGGCATCCTACCACATCATAATCATCATTCGCAAAATGCACAAGTCAACATCAAATCGGACACTGGCCACGAAATGGTGGGTGCGTCATTGTTTTCGCCGCACGGGTACAGTTAAAGGTACTGCAAAACATTACACCCTTCTGCATAGTCATGTAACGCTTGATTTTTTGCGGGAGAAAATAATATAAATAGTAATGCAAACCTTGGCCTCTCTGTGCGGAGCAACGTAAGAAAAATAGAAATAACGCTGTGAAAAACAAAATGCGGAGCAAAATGCACAACGGTGAAATTTTCTGATGCGGAAGGGTTTAGTATTTTAAAGTACTCAGTGAAACTGGCCGTAGTGACGCTCTCTCACTCAGCCATAACCCGGTCCGAGGCGTTGCGAACCGTTTAACGCGCCATTTACATCAGTCAAGATCGGCCCTCCGTTTGTCACAAACGCCCACGGCATCAAACAGCCCAAGTTGGGTTCCAACAGATCGGCGCTTCGCAACCCCCGCGGTCAGAACAGCGACCCGCTCTCGAAATCCTCGTCGTCCTCCGGCCTGAGCTCCCCTCTGGCGTCCTTGAGGAAGCACGCCCCGTCGCTGCGCCGCCACGACCACAGGTAGCAGCTGCCGTCCATCCTCTGGCACAGGTCGCAGCACTCCCGCGTGCCGTTGGTCGCCCGCCGCTTGCCCTTGATGTTACGCCCCCTGAACCTCAACCCCGGCACGCTCTCACACGGGAAGGCCTCCACGCCATTTTCATCCACCACGGCCGCGGCCACAGTAACAATCGGCGCCCTGCAGTCGAAGCACCACGGCTCCCGGCTGGAACACCTCTCCAGACTGGGGGGATCCTCCCTGTCCCTGGGCACCGGCATGGAACCCCCGCTGGTAAAATTGGGATGCACCACTCCGGTATCCAGGGCGTAGATCTCCCGCTTCAGCCCGCAGACCGAAGTCCTGTTGTCCCTGCTCCACGACCCGCAATCGGGATCCTCCGCGCACTCCCGACAGCAAGCCGCGTCGGTTTCGGCCCCCACCAGCCGGTAGGGCGGCGCCCCCGTGCCGCGCTCCGCGCACGCGCCCCAACAGACCATCTGGACGAATGCCACGCGGGCGGACGGAGGGATCCCGGCCTGCGACCGAGCCGCGGGCGCCTCCGCCAGCAGGATCGCGATCGCGACGGCGACTGAGAATTTCGTGGCATTCGACGCGACGAGCCACGGCATGATCGCAGGGTGGGATCGAACCCTTGGGAGCGGGGGAGGGGCGGCCGTTTGGAGTGGAGACCCGCTGGCCTGTCGCGGAGAGGGCGTTGGGGGAAGCGGGCTGAAGCTGCGCACCTTGGGGAGGTGCCTTGCGGGGGCTGGTTGTGAGTGCCCTTTCACCCGCAGTAGGGCTGGGGGCCTTGCGTTTTGAGGGGGGCGCCCGGAGTTAGGGGGGTTGCTGCCAAGAGAAGAGGGCCTGAAACTGGGGGAAGGCCGCGGCAGGCAGCGTTCCGTCATGACGCGATGACGGGAGGGGCGCAACAGGCGGACAGGCGGGTAGGGCTGTGTTCTTGGCAGCGACACCGGCGCAGCAGCCCGATTTGCGATATTCCCATGCAGCCAGTAAAGCAGCCAGTACAAAAAGTATCCAGATCATCAAGGGGAAGGCGCGCGGCTGTGGGTGGACAACGGGCGGAACTTGGTGAGTGCGACGTGCCTGACTGCGCGGCTGTAGTCATACTTGTTTCAGCGGTTTCTGTCAGAGCTCCTGTGTCGGTCTCGATTGCTTACCGTTGGTATCTAAACTCCTAAAGTGTTACGGGTGATCAAAAAGCTGAGGACTGATATTGTCTGGGACATAATCATTCAAGCTGGGTGTGGCGGTGAGCCGTAAAAATGCGTAAATATGGGCGTGAAATGGCCATTTCTCTATTTAGGCGTTTGTACGGGTAAAAATGTAAACGCAAAAAATGGCCCATAAACGGATTATGTTTATGGCACAATTTGTACGTATTTCAAATGACAAGCCTGCTCATGCAGATGGATTGGTAGAAGGTGCAGGCATGGGTATGCAGTGGCATTAGACCGGCAGTATGGAAAATTGCCATGGTGAAGAATCGGTTGCATCAATTTATTCATTGCTTAGTGGGCATGACCAAGCCTGTTATTTACGTTTACATTTGTACGTTTACGTTTTTATGTGTAAAATCATGAACACACAAAAATGCCTATTTTTGCTGTTATATTTGCGTATTTTGATGGTGCATTGGGACATTCAGCTTACATGATGAAGTCACATACAATGGTTAGTTCTCCGCCTCCTCTAGCATATGCAACACAGCGTCCACCTCGCCTTCGTTGTCTAACAATACCGTATTTACCCGGTGTTAATAGGCGTGTATTGGACCCTCAAAATGAGCAGTGGATACTAATATTGGGTCATGGATACCAACGAGGTTTAGAACCCCTGATCCAAGGATGAGACAGAGCAAATTTTAAAATAGCCATTGAAATGCACAAAAAGGCGTTTCAAACAATGCAAGATGAGATGCATAGGTAGCAACATCACCAAATCAAAGTTAGAAAATCACAGACACCACATTATTGACAATTCCATATTGCTAGCGACGATGCTGTTGTTGCCACCACCAAATCCCAAACAGAAACACAAAAACGCATTCTCAATCAATCGGCGTCCACATCCATATCTGATGCAAAGCCGTCAAAACCCTCATCAACACCTTCCCGGGTCATCAACAACTCTGACGGGAGATTCCAGCATGTTCGAGTGGACGGCGGCTCTGCTGTGTGGCCTGGTTGGTGCGCCCCCAGTCAAGCTAAAGGCAAGCTTGGGCGAGCTTGGCGGAGAGTGTGTTGAGACTGGTTGTGAGAAGCGCCAGGGGTGACGGCTGGTCGTGTGGCATGCATGCCACCAGCGCGGCCCAGCATTGCCAATAACAACCATCGTGTTCCCCCAACGGCCAGGAAAGGTCAAAATAATCCCCCTGGCGCATGGCAGGCACGTGCATATGTGGCTGACAGGCTACACTGCGCATAGCTGAAGTGGTTGGAATCCAACCGTTGGATGCACTCTACAATAGTCGTTGTGCAACCGGGTGCCGCAGGATCCGGTGTGACTGCCGCAGAGGCGAGCGCCATGGTGAGAATTGTTAGAGAAACAAGCAAGGCCGCCAGGTCCGCTGGCAACTCTAGGCCCGCAACTGTGCCATAGACGCATGGCCTACAGTCGCTCGACAAGCAAGTAGACATTTCCCCATCGGATTAGCTGCTACAGCTGGGAGGCTTGCAGCCATCACATGCATAGCACTACGTGATGAGCAGCTTTTGGCAGTTGTTGCACGTTGAGGTCGGGCAACAAGAGTGCTGGGCAAACAAAAACATGCAAACAAGCTGCCTCTCCCCCAAGGCGAATGCAATGGGCCCTCTCGCGCTCGTTTCTGTTGAGATTTGGGGGGTGGATACTAACACCGGGTCATGGATTCTAATGTGGTTGGGACCCCCCAAAGGGGGGTTGGATACTAATAGGGGTTGCCTACTAATACCGGGTAAGTACGGTAATTCGTTCTCTGACCACTCCAATGTGTATGACTGCCACTCCCTGGATTCCCCGAGTATGCACGCCCTGCCTCCATGTACACGGGGCCTGTCTTTACACATTTTTTTGTGCATGTTTGCGCCTAAGAACGTAAAAAATCCAGGAAAAGCTTCGAGTGCATTGGCGAAAACAGATTTGCCTATGATCATTTGGAGGCGATGACTCAGTTGCTCGTCGCCTGTTGAGCGCCTTTGTGCGTATCCTGGTCATCTTGTTGTTCCAATCAACGACTCTCAGTAGTTGATGGTGATGGACTAGTCACGTTACCACGTTGCTATGGCTTATCCCCTGTTTGCAGTTGCAAGTTGTTCTTTGCGTAGACAAACACTATTTCTAGGAACCGCCTTGAGCCAAGCTGACATTCATGGGTGGTTTGGTGGCACCAGGACATCCATGAATGTCGGCTAGCCCCAGAGATGCACTGCATCGCTGCAACCAGCCTCAACTGGGGCATCTGGCACATTTCCTGCTGCAGCCACTGAAATGGAGTTTCACAATGACACGACGATGGCTTGGATGATGCCCCCGCCCCCCACCCCCAACTCCACCCCCCCTTTGCATTATCATTGAATCTCACAGATGCCCTCATTGCCTGTGACAGGGAGACTGCTGCTCCCTGCTAACGCTGGCGGAGGTTGCGCCCCGTACAACTCCTGTGTGGAAACTTCCAAAGGTGTGGATGGTGATCTGGAACCCAACCAGCAAGTACAAGACAGGGCTTCCCAAAACCTCCAGTCTCCTGAGCAGCAGAGGTACACACATTGTTTCATGGGCTTTGAAGGAAAATTACCTGAGCCCTGAAAGCACGATGAGGAAAAGAAAGACAATGCATGCATATCCAAACTTTGGCTAATTTGGGAAAGGAATGAATGCGGTATATGAACATCCTACTGCTGACAAAGCTTCCCCCTCCCATCAGAGACTTGTGCACCGATGCTCCTCCTGCACCGCAAAGGGTTGCGCATATGGGCAACTTCTCAACCCACGGCCTTGCCATGACTTGGCCATATACTGAGTACGAATATTCCGGCCAGGATTTCATCCACCTTCAGGGCACGGCAGGATGCAGTACTTTTTCCCTTGTACAAAGCCAGTTTCTTACTTCCGACTAACACGAGGACACAATTAAACCCCCAAGCTCAAACTTGAATAGCCCGGGTAAAGTGCTACAGAAATCGTCGACACAAAATGCCTCAACACCTGTTTGAGTGACCGCCCACGTCCTTGGCAAATCCAACAACGGTTTCCGTGACTGCCCATATCTTGCCCCACCTGGGTTTGAGAAAACACCGCCTCCATCAAACCCTGCAGCCCAGCGCCAGCGGTCACCCAGAGCCGGCCCCAATCAGGCGCACCCAGCCTCCGCCCGCGCGCTCAGAGCAGCGACCCGCTCACGAAATTGCCGTTGTTCGCCACGCCCCCCCACCTACTCCTCAGAAAGCACCGCCTGTCGCTCCTGCGCCATGACCACAGGAAGCACGCCCCGTCCCTTCTCTGGCACAGGTCGCAGCACGCTTGGGCGTTGCGCGTCCGCTGCCCCCCGCCGTTGATGGTGGCCCCCCTGAACACCCTGCCGCCAGACGACGAGCAGGCAGATGTCTGCCCGCCGCCACCGTCATCATCCACACCCCCGCCAATTACCCTGGCCAGAAAAAGACAGCTCACGCACGTCCCGTCCCCGGGGCAGAATTCCAAATCGTCCGGCCCGACCACCACGTCGGACGATTCCCCGGCAGTGAAATTCGCATCCGCCATCAGCCTCTCCATCGAGAAGGTCTCGTTCTTCAGCGCGCACAAGGCCGTCCGCTTGTCTCTGACCCATGAGCCGCACATGGCATCCGCGGAGCACGCATCGCAGCACTCCGCGTCCGTCGCGGCGGTAGCCACCTCGTAGGGCAGGCCCCCATCGAGCCTGGACTCGCAGTACGGCGCACACAGTCGCCGCTTGGGCGTGGGCCTACCCGGGGCCGGTCTGGTGGTGACGCTCACCGAGGGGCTGGGGGGCCTATCTGGGGGTGGAGCGCTGGATGCATTGCTGCTGGCGCTCGATGCATCCTGGCCGCACGCCGAGAGGGCCAGCACGAAGAGCAAGGCCAAGGCGACCGGGAGCGCCGAGCCACAAGCGGGGAATCTTATGGCCCTGGTCATGGACGGGAGGATGGTTCAAGCACGGAGGCCCGCGGCATAGGCGAACGATATGGGGGGGGGAGGGGCCTGGGTGGTGGCGCCCTGGGGGACTCGGAGACGTGGTGTTCTTTGCATGTAGTGCTGTCGCCAGCCTCAGCTTTGTCACACTGTCGTCACCGGAACTAATCGCGTTGTTCATTGAAGCCGTTTGACTGGGTGACTACTCATCATCATCATCATTTATTGCATAACAAGTCATTGGGTGACTCATGTTATTGGCTCACGATGGGTGTCGACCGTATACGAGACACATGCTGCATGGGATGGCCCCAGTAAGCCAACATTGCTGATGAAAAAAGGAAAAGAGTGAGAACACTCCTGGAAACAATAAGGCTGCAATGCCTGGGAGTGAGCTTCACCGGAGAAGGTGAGGGAGGCAGGAGCTGACCAGAGGAAGTCGCTCTGTGCACTCAAAAGAATCATGTCACCGATTAGCTCCCAACACTGGTCGGTAATTGGCTTTTCTGGGAGGTCCCGCGCCGCAAGGGTGTAGGCTTGGGGGCAAATCGGGCTCACTGGACTGTCCGGTGACGCCTTCATCCGTCAGGATCGTTCAGACTATCCGAACTGGCGAGGGAGGACACATGGTTTGTTGGTTTGCACGAAAAATTGCGTTTCGTGTGACTGAAACATTACAATTCAGACAAAACGTGACTTGAATTGCATTTGCAACACAGGGCGCATGCGAGTGAATCAGTTACCATTGGCTGGTGCACTCAGCAATGGGTATGCACATTCAGTGTATCCTCATGATATGCACGGTTACGTCCTGACACTCCAACAGGAATGCACATGCATGCACGAAAGATGAAGGGATGTCAGATGCCCTGACACACATGTTGTATTTTTCTCATGGGAGTCATGTCAGCGGTCTGAAGGGAGCTCGCACCTAACCGACCTGTACAGCATGTGGAAAATGTTTTCCCATCGCTGCCATGAAGCCCTGTGTGGGTCATGACCTCAGGACACCACCGGAAAGGGATACAGTTGGCTTGATCTGGTTTACCATGCATGCAAGACATGCATGCCTGTGTTGAAATAGACAAACGCAAGGTTGAAAGGAAAGAAACAAAAAAAAGTGATGGTCCTGGTGGGTAGCAAGGACATGGGATAGGAGCGTTGGATTGTAATGTGTAGGCCAACATGCCAGGAATGCATGCAGACAGTGCACCCCTGGAAACCTGTCGGACAGGGTGTCTTAGGGGCCTGTCCAAGCTAAAGCGTTGAACAAGAAAGTGCCAAAAACGTTATTTTAAAAGACGTGGGGATGAGTGGCAGCAATGCCACAAGGCTTCGCCAAACAGGTCGCCGTGCCCTAAGAAGAATGGGGATGTGCTGAAACTATTAGGCCCTTTTTTGCATTTGCGCAGCTGCAGCAGTGCACCGTAGGTCCCCACCTTATCCATTTCTGTATAGTACTCTATGTCTTCTGTATGGGAAGGAGGAAGAATATAGTACAGTGGGGCAGGTGTTGAGCGAGGGCGCTGGGAAGTGCCATAAAGTATGGTGTCTTTTCATGCAGTACCTTGTGACCATCGCTTGACCAATGGATGTGATATCCAAGGGCTGCATGGTGGCAGCAGGGGGACGAGTTTGGAGGAGTTCTGTGATGGCAAATGACGTTGTCTGGGATGGGAGGTCAGCAGAAATATGGTTTTGAAAAGGGGAGAAAGGAGTTTACTAGCTAGAGGATGCTATGTCGAACCTTACATGATTTGGTGGGGTTGGTCCTTTGGGACTAAAAAGCATCAGCCTATATCCTAGATTGCACTGCAAATGGGTGCGAATTGTGTCACGAGCTGTGGGATTTTGTAGGAATTCTGTATGGGCATGATCGTAAAGTATTGATCATTTGACGCTTTTCCTGTGATGGACCGGAGCTCAAGTGGAGAAAACAAGTGGAAATTAGGAATCCAAGACGTCATCCGGAGATCGCTGATAAGCTGAAAAAATGGTAAACATTTCTCCGGCTTTAGTACTGGTCATGAGGTACTGGAGTGCAGTCAATGTATGGGCAGGGTTCAGTCATTGAGCTGAAGTCTTGCACACTAGTGTCGTGTTCACTTCGTGCAATCTGAGGGTGCATTGAGTCATCAGTGTGTGGCTGCGCTGTATGAGAGATCAGAAGGGTGCTGCCCTTTTAAAGGGGCTATATGTGACCTCTTGGGTGTCCAAGGGACCTTTCCGTTCTATAAACGAGCCGTGCGCGGCTGTGGGGTCGCCATTCTACCATTCGTCCGTGTTTGGGGTTTGATGATGCTGTGCTGGTTGTCGTAGGGTGCCATGTCAAGCGATCGTTCCGAGCCGTGAGGACACGTGTTGGGCGGCAGGCGTTGTGGGTGGACGCCAGCACTTGCGCTTGTGCCACTGCCTTGTAAAGGCCTCTGAGCCCAATTTTTCGGTTTGAATCGTGTCTCCTGACCCTGGCATGGCACCTCGCGGCATTGCGCCCCCCATCCCCCTGCGTCTAGGGACTTTCTTGCCGCTCGCTCTGGTGGAAGCAGAAGCAACGGCTGCGCAGCTGGCCGAAAAGCCCGTGCGGATCGCTGAAAAGCGCATCGTCGCCAAAATGCGTTGAAAAATGGCGCTGCGCGACCTGTGACAGGGTCGACGCACAGCCACATACGATTCTTTGCCGTAGAGGCGCATGGTGCCGTGAATCACAGCCGCATAGCACGCTGGAACGCACCAAAAGGAGCGTATAGCTGCGTAAGGCGATGCGCTGCCCAGCGACCGCGCCTTAATGGCGCTGGGCGGATATACAAGAATATCTAAAGGCATGCATACCGAATCGCTGCCTACGGTCGACGAAGACGTGTTCCCGCTCCATCATCGTAAAATGGGCGGCTCGCGCGATCAGCGTATGACTAAATAGCTGGACGCACAGAGGGGACGAGACAATATGAACAGAATTCACGACACTGATGAACGGCCGGGTATACCATGGCATGTTAAACCCTTCCGCATAGTAAGGTAACGCTTGGCCATTTTCTTCAGAGAAAATTTAATAAATGGTAACTCAGAGCTTGGCCTTTTCTTGCAGAACAACATAAAAGTAGGATAACGCTCTGGAAACAAAATGCGGAGCAAAAAGCGCAATGGTAAAATTTTCTGATGCAGAAGGGTTGAATATTTCGCAGTAAGGGACAGAATTCCTGTTGTCACTTTGCCCTGTTGTAAACCGTTGCGGTGCACTTGAGCCTACAGCCCCCAGACAGGGGTCGCCACCCCTCGACCCTGCCAGCCTTTGTTTGTGGTTTTGCCAAGAGGGGGGCATCCTGCTGTATGTGGCCTGATGGATCGCGGCCCCGACATCTAATTCTCTGTCCACAAGGAAACCAATGGCAACCTGGCTGCGGCCAAAGGTGTTGTAAGGCTCTTGTAGTTATGACGAGGTGAATTCTTTGGATTGCATATGTCCACCCAAAACAGAACATGGCCTTTGATCTTTCCAAGATTAAAGCTGAACAAAAGCATGGGTCCGGACGTTCTTCAGCTCCTGTGCATGCTGAAAACCACTTGGGGCGTGTTTGGCTAACAACAGAGTGATGACCAGAACCCCAGTCACTGTCCTAAAAGTTAGACATTGGTGCATTTGGGACATTTCTTGCTGAACTGGGGTTGCCTGCTGATGCAGTCACGACACTTATGGCACACCCCAGGCCCGTGCCAACATTTCTTGCTGATTCCTACTGATCTCCTCACGGACTGCTGATGTTGGTGGGGACGTCAACACTATGTGCCAACATCAGTAGAGGCCGCGAGCTTATTCTTGTCTTGAAAGCAAGGTGGCTGTAATGGCCTATGGTGGCCATAGAGGGTCTGATTCAGTGACAGAAAGCACTTCCTGCTGGCCGTCCACACGAATTGCTGCAATAATAGCTGTGCTCCGAAGCACATTTGGCAACTTGTGACACTTGCAGCACCTGCACCGTTCTGTATGTACACAACTTGTGTGCAATAGCTTCTGCAATTACAGTGGTCATATCTCCTTGAAAGGTGGAAGTTACTCTGCAACAATTAAAGCAGATACAAGAATGCGGCTGCCTAGGCCTCCAGTTGTCCTAAGAAGCAGAGAGGCACAAATACAATTCCCTGGGACTGAGGCGAAATCTGGCTGAGGCATGAAGCGAACCAAGAAAATGAAAAAGGCCAAGCATACCCAAACCTTGGGGACAAGGTTGGGAAATGTGTGCAAAGCACCGCGCTGACATCAAATAATTGTGCACCCCCACCACAGCTCTCTTGCAAATAAGGGTGACCCCCAATCCCGTGCCCTGGCCATGGCCTGACCATGACCTTGCAATATGCTGAGTATGAATACACTATCTTGGACAAAATTATCTCCATATCCAGGACATGGCCAAAATGTTGTCCCTTCTACATTATGCATCAATGTGAAGTGGGACAAACGCACGGAAATAACTCCAAACTTGACTGCAGCTTCAATAGCTAGAGTACAGTGCTGCTTGAGCTGTCGATGCAAACACGCTCCAACACTTGTTTCAGTGATCGTCCGTGTGCATGGACATGTCTTGGCAGGACATATGTCCTGGCAACAACCACTTGGGTTCAAGACGCAGAACACACCGGCCCTATCGGCCCCTGCAGCCCACCGCCAGTGGCCCTCCTGAGCTGGTGTCCACCGCCAGCACCCAGGAAAAGAACTCAGAACAGCGACCCGCTCACGAAATTGCTGTTGCTCGCCACGCCTCCCCACCTGCTCCTCAGGAGGCACCGCCCGTCGCCCCTGCGCCACGACCACAGGAAGCACGTGCCGTCCCTTCTCTGGCAAAGGTCGCAGCACGCCTGCGCGTCGCCCGTGCTCTGCCCCCCGCCGTTGATCGTCGCCCCCATAAAAACCTGCCCCTCGGAGGAAGAGCACGGAAAAGCCTGGCCGCCTTCATCATCCACCTCTCCAATAATGATCCTGGCAAATTTCGGAGCACATTGCACGCACGTCCCGTGCCCAGGCGAGCACATCTCCAGGGTGTCCGGCCCGACCACCTCATCGGTCGATCCCCCAGCGGTGAAGTTCGCATTCTCCATCAGCATCCCCAACGAGAAGGTCTCGTTCTTCAGCGCGCACATGGCCGTCCGGTTGTCCCGCACCCACGCGCCGCACGTGGCGTTCTCCGAGCACGCATCGCAGCAGTCCGCGTCCGTGGCGGCGGTGACCACACTGTAGGGCACCCCCCCGTCGAGCCTGTAACCGCAGTGGCTGAAGCACAGCCGCCGATCGGGCGGGGGCCTCCCCGGAGCCGGCCTGGTGGTGATCTTGAACGTAGGCCCCGGGGCCTTGGTGGGGGCCGGAGCGCCGGGCGCGTTGCTCGCGGGGCTCCACGCCGTTGTCGCGTTGTGCCGGCACGCCCCGACGGCCAGCGCGGAGAGCAGGGACAAGACGGCCGGGATCGCCGCGACCCAAGCGGGAAATCTCATGCGCCCGGCCATGGACGACAGGTTCACGTGCGGAAGGCGCCGGCATGGGCGCGCGAGAGGACGGGGCTGGGAGGGGACATGGTTTGGAGTGCCTTTGATAGTGACCCGCGAAAAAGCCAGAATCGGCCGTCCTTGCAACAGCCTAAAGTAGCTGCCACACCGCCTGTGTGGGGAGTGTGACCGGGTGCGCTGAGTCAGCACTGCTGACGGCGGCGGACGCGTAGGATTCGTGAATTACATGCAATCAAGGCCACATCCTTCCTTGCCTCCAGACGTTTAGGGAGTGAACGGTCGCCCCAACAGACATGGAGACTTTAGGGCAAAAAGGCAATCTTAATCAAGCTCCGCTCGTCCAACAAGCAGGCTCAAACGATGTGTGATATTGAGCTGGCCAACAACGTACAATTCATAGGTCGCATGACAGTTAGCGACACCACCACATGCCCAACGACTACCTCTCTTGGCAATCCGATTCTAACTTATCACAAACTACATTAGAATGCACAGAAACTGGATTGCATGGGTCGCCAATTTGTTGCCTTTACCTCTTGACTAAATTATAGCCCAACGTATTATGGAGAGGGTAGTTGGACGTAGTAACAACAAAAGCCAGACCTCCAAAACTGCTTAGAAGTCACTAAAACGAGTTGCTCAATCTGCGCTGTGTGTAAAAATTGTATAGGGCAGCACCACACTGTGGGTGCCCTTTGCTTTCACGGTAAATCCATTGGATGGGTGTTCAGTTCAACAACAATGTCCTCACATCGGGAACTTGAGCGCCGGGACGCTCTAATGGTGGCATGCCGTGGCGACACGAACTGGGAGACACCGGGCCTTGGCTGGCTATCTAAGGTATACCTTAGATAGCTAGGGTACGTAACCCCTTTGGCTCATTTGGCATTTGAGTCTCCAATTTGGAGAAATGGGCCTCACATGACCAACCACTTCCAACAATAACAAAATCCCCCCCTTGTTCGAGCTAGTCTCCCCTACTTAATTATGCATTGTGTTTGCAAATGGCATAGTATTTCAAAATCCTCCAATAGAATATTTCTATTAGAATCTTCTTGAACCATTCTCACCAGTGCCTTATAGGGTTTGTTCATTGAATCATGGGGCTCCTAGCCTACACACAACTGCTCACTGGTGGGAAGATGGTGTCACTGGTGCTCTCAATCATCCCGTGCTGAGTTTGCGCTACCTGCCACTGGTCCTGGGCCTCACGGGGCTCCAACTGAGCGGTACTAAAAGGGCTCTGTCTACAACGTAAACTTTTTATATCAATTGGCGCCCAGAGCAAGAGGTGGGGAGGGCCGGGACAGATCAGAGCGATGTAGCAGTGTGATGGCCGAGGTACTAAGCTATGTTTTAGGAACCACAGAATGAGCGGACCTGCTTTCACAAGTTTTCAAAACTTGAAAACGTCACGAATGCCCCAAAGCAACGAGCCGGGAGGCAAACACTCCACACGACCAGCCGTTCAAATACAAAGATCTGTTCACTATTACTGAGGCCTTCGAGATATGTGTCCCGTCGAGCCTAGAAAAGGATGGTTCCAATCACATCAAACTCCACAGCTAGCGCACCATTCTGATTAAATTAAACGACATGGATGTCACCAGCATGAGGCAAAAATAGCGGCTCAGCTGCGTCAAGGGGTTTCCGATTAATGTGCTGGTGCTTGAGAAATTGGATTGCCCTCCCCCTTGCCACTTTTGCCAAGCTGTTTAGCAGAAACGTAGGACATCACGCTAGAGGTGCAGCAGTGGACTGATATCTACTTTACTGTCCGCACTAAAGCAAGATACTTGCAAATGGCAAGTTGAAGGCGGATGTCTTCGGCCAATGGTGTGAATTTTGTAGTTCTGGCATGGTTCATTACTGGATTGCATTTGTCCACCCGCCACAGAGCATAACCCTTGAGCCTTCAAGAGTGAAGCTGACGTCAGCAAAGGTCCAAAAGTTCGTCTGCTGCCATACATGCTGAAACAACGCTGGGCGTGCTCGAGTTGTCACGCAATACATGATTTGCAATTACGCTGTTCACTTGTGCTGGAAAAGGCGCGCGAAAGGGTTTCAGAAAGAAAGGAACACAAGGGAAGAGCAATCGATAGGAAAGAAGTAGAAAGTAAATGGCAAAGGGCCAGTTGGAAATTCGCTAAACGGGGATGCTGTCAACGCTCTCAAGGGTTCCAGACAATTTCAGCAAAGTCTGAATCAAATCTGGTGGGTTTCCTCGAGAAGCCGTCAAGTGACGGTGTGCACACAGCATGTAGCTTGAAGTTTTAGGCTGTGCATGTGGCCAAAGTATCACGAATACATATTTGTCGTATCGCGAAATGTCAATTACTTGTTTGTGGTGGAGCCCCGGGTACCTCAAGCCCATACATTTCAATTACCAAAATTTTAGCACGAGTCTGGGTCTGTCAACTTGTTGTACTTATTCAAGTTACGTTCACTTATCCTGCCTATCGCCTCAGCTTTAATGTCGAGCAATGGTCTCTGGAACAGGGTGGGAAGTGGGCGCGGGAGCTGGGAAGAGTCCCGGGGGGGGGGGGGGGGGGGGGGGGGGGGGGGGGGGGGGGGAAAAGAGCTCTGATGGCTATCAAGTACTGAATACTTTCATCTCAGCACTTTGGTTAGATTTGCAACTGAACAAGGGAGCTGTCGGCCTGTCTGCAGGCACTGTTTGCGCGACGCACTTCAAAGGCAATCTTGGTGCAGAGGGCTCGAGTACCGCGTCCGCGCTGACCCAAAGATTCTACACAAGAAAAACACACAAAAAAGTGTCGTTGCGCTGCGGATCTCAAGTCCAGAATCGTAACGCAAAATAATGCATTCGAGAGAAAACTGCACCAAAACGCCCACCATGCAGCCCAAGCAGCCTAACACCCCACCAAAGCAGAGGCCCTCTCCGGAGGTCCCCCAGGGGCCATGGCGCCATCGGACTCCAGAACCAGCCGTGCAGTCGAAAAAGCCCCACACCCCAGCAAAGAAATCACAGACCTGAATCAGCCTGACTACCGAAAAAGCAAAAGAGTGTTTCCTTTGAGCAGAGACCCCTGACATTCCCCGACTTCATCAGGAGCCTTCAAGTCCAAATTCTGGACTCTAGAGGCACCGTGTGCCCACGAACTGCCTCTGGATGGCATTGCTCGCGACGCAAAATGACGAACATAGTCCACGTCAGCGCATCACACCACATCCTTGCAAACTGGCGCCAGTGATCGCAGAACATGGAAACTATCCTACTGACAGAATCCTTTCCCTGGATGCGTACATGTCAGATACGCCAGATATGTATGTGGCGAGATTTTTGTACGCCAGATACCTATCTGACGAGACATTTGTACAAAGATGCGCATCTGGCGAGGGAAACGAATCCCATCGCATCCGCCGCGTCCCCTACTCCCACACTGCGCCTCTGTCGCCCATCCGTCCTTCCCATGCCAAACAACCAGCACCGGAAATGCAAACAAATTCCCATGGAAAAACAATCCTGCCGTCATTGATCTCCAAACCGAATCGTTCATTGGCCTGTCCAAAGACCGCCCAGCTCCCGCCAGCTCGAAAACGAATGAAATTCCTAACGCCAAAAAGGTGCAATAAAAGGGCAAGGCGGCGTGTTGCGGGCCCGCCGTGCAACTCAGATGTTACCATCCACTGAAAACACGTCTTCGTGATAACGGCCGTCCTCCACCATTCGTGCGAAGGCCGGCTTGTCCATGACTTGCTGAAGCGCTTCCGTCACGGCTATGGACAGTTTCACGCTGCCGCAGAGGTAGACGTTGGCGGCATGGTTTTGAAGATACACCCTCAATCTGTGCACGCAAGGGAGACGTGTTCAGGCCAGTGCCAAGCCCTTTTGTTCAAGCTCCCCTTCGAGGGACAGAACGGGGCCCTGGCAGCTTGCAGGCGATGACAAGCATCAGGTCAGTGCGCATCATTATTGGTAACACACCGCATTAAATCGCGTTAAAATGTGCTTAATTATTATATTATATATTATTATGTGCATTCTACATAATGGCTGCGGAAGCAAGCTGCACGGAAGCCGTGTCGCTTCCTGACTGTGCTCTGGGCAGACCGCCTGCCTCCGCCGCACTGCGCACAGATGCTGCCAAGATGAAGGTCTAGCCACCAAATATATCTGGCTTACACTGCTGCAATGTACATCAATATTGATCGCTGATTAGTTTTGTTGTTTGCCATTGCGCCCACGATGATTCATGAGGGCTGCAACCAGTCTTGCACTGACAACGCACGTACAAGGCGCGGTGAAGGGAGAAATTTTCTGCCACTGCGCAATTCTCGTGCATCCACAGTGCTGGAGACATGCAGAACACAGTGTGTCCTGTCTAAACCACTGCACCGCTTGGGGCTGTAGGGCGTCAGTGACGCAGTCCACAAGTTCGGTGGCAACCCCATTTCGCATGTGTGGCCCAACTGGCCCCATTCAAAAATGCATCGACTCATCCGCAAGTCGGCGGGGCCAACGCGGTTCGCGTTGCCCCAATCCACTGAGCCTCAAAACGGAATCATTGCATCCAAACCACAGCTACTCTGTTTTGGATGCAATCTTGATTTGGATGCAGCATCCAAATCAAGAGGGCTACGTTACGTTTTCAAGATACTTGGTTGTCATCGTTCAGGAACACTATTTTTTCTGCTCCCACATGACCAGTGGGCTTCATATATATCACCTTGCACTTCCTGCAGAGCACAAGGCCCACATCACTCCTCACAGGGGCCCGACTCTGGGTTACCAAACGCGACCCAGAGAACCCAAAGCACCCAAAAAAACCAAGACGCCGTGGTCAGAAGTTTCCATTGCAGCAAACATTGCATCAAGGCCCCACCTGCCCTGGTTTGCAAGGATGATGTCCTGCACGTGGGCCTTGGGCAGCCCGAACTCCCTCGAGTACGCCACGTAGAAGTCCGTCAGCACCCCGCTGTCCAGGCCGTCGTTCAGCTCCTGCTCGAACACCAGCTCCCCCCTGCTGCGGCACCCGTGGATCAGGATCGCAGGGCCCAAGGGGCCATACCTCTTGAGGTAGGCCCGCTCCTGGATGAAGCCCCTGAAGGGGGCGACGCCTGTGCCGGCGCCCACCATCAGGATGGGGGCCTCGGGGTTGATGGGCAGCCGGAAGTGGGGGGCGTTGTTGAGGTTGAAGGCCACAGTGTCGCCAATGGCAGTGTCGCCAACGTAGTTGGAGCACAGGCCAGAGCGCTCGCGGGCGTTCGGGAGCGTGTAGTGCAGGCGCTGCACCAGGCAGTGGACCTCCCTCCCTTCCAAAAACCTGCAGCAAAGTGGGCATTCGCTTCAGATCAAAACATTGGTATCAGTTTTGTAAGTCCTCTTGGTTAATCCAAGCAAGCCTAGCCAATGCAATTCGATATGCCAGGCTGTGTGTCCCCACTGCCGCTCACTGTAGTGCTTACAAGAAGTCCAGAATCCCCACTCACCGGCAGTGCAATGGTGCTCACAAACAGCCTAACAACATGGCCCCTGTGCAGAGCTTGGGCTTGCAAATCTATCAGTCAGGCTCCAAGTTTAACTACAACTTTGCTTGCCAAAAATGGCAGGAAAAACGACCAGTTTTGTCCTCTCACAATAAACCTGCCTTCCTCTAGGCACCTCATCATTCACAAACGCCATTACAATGGCTCAATCAAATGGCAACTCATTATCGAGCCAAGTACAAAATGCAAAATATAGTTCTTGTACATAGAGTTCCGTGTAGTGCACAGGCTACTAGAACACAGTTCCTCCACCACACCAAGCGCAGTACATACGACAGTACCATGTTGTAGAACAATGTCACAAGCCCTCTGGCCAAAACTGTTCACATTCGTGTCCCAGAACCTAGTGGAGAGTTTTTTCTCCATGTGCACTTGCCAGATATGCACAGGACAGAACTTATGCCAAAACTGCTGCTTCTTTTGCCCAAACGAGATGGCTCCGACAGCCACAGGCACTCCTGCTTTGTGCATTCAATCCACATTCTTATGCAAATTGTCACTGTTCAAGTTTGGATGTGAAATGCACAAGGGCCTTCATTAATCCAGAAGGACATGTTACTAAGCACAATGCAAGCATGGTTGCCAAGTTGTTGACAAAATCAATAGAGAAAATGTGCGCATAAGTAAGCAAAGCAACAGATGAATAGACAACAACAATTGGCAATAGAGAAATGGAGAACACAATTCGAGCATAAAACCAGGCAAACATCCTGCCACTTGAACAGCTAATGTGCTAACCAAGTGCACAACCATCTGCAAAGGACGTTCTACTTTGGGCTGATGACAAGACAGACTTATTATCAACAATGCAAAATTACCAATACACAACAAAACTGATGCAACAAAATACATTAGAAGAACTAGCACAAGGAAGCACAAAACTTTGCCTTCAACACTGCAATTCCACCCATTGCACGCATGGTTCAGTCTTGTGAAAAAGAGACATCTTTTCAGCCGCGGACGTGCATCGCACCTGTGGCTCGATGCCACCGAATAGGCCCGGGGCCTCATGATGGGCAGCAGATGGAAGCAGGCAGCGATTGGCAGGTTCCCCACGAGCGACGGAAAGCACTCAAACAGGTCTATCCAGCGAGCATGGCTCTCGGCGAGCCACTTGGCAGCCATCTCCGGGTCTGTGGCCAGCTCCTGGAGCAGCAGGCAGTCCTCTCCGCCAGACTTGTCCCCCAGGCCTGACAGGCACGACAGGGTCTGCAGGACCTCAGCCGTGATTTTGGCATGCACGTCCAGGTGCTCAGTGAGGGCTGTCACGAACTTGATGGGCACCGGGAACTTGGGCGGCGAGCCGTCCAGGCACTCGATGTCGAACACGCCGTCCAAGTCGTCAATCCCCAGGTTGTTCGCGAACTCAAGGAGTTCTGGCGAGCGTTTGCTCCTTGGGAAAATTTGGACATAATCACCTGCCACACATTGCAAGTGTTCAAGATATGCTTGTTGTGCATGCTGAGTGGCCTGCACATGAACTTCAACAGCGTGGGGGAGGGCTTTGCTATCTTTTGTTCAAAAGGCAGTCGGGCATTGGTGATTGCATCATGAGTTCCTGCTCCATTGCTGCAACACTCTAAACAGAAATTGGGACAGCACTGTGGGGGCGATTTTCATTTCTGTAGCCAGTGCCTGACATCGCATGCAAGGGGAGGGGCTTTGCCAAGCAGTTCTGACAGAATCTGTCAGAACAACTACTGGTACAACTCGCATTGTACTACAAAATATTGCGTATGTTAAGAGAACCACAAGTGATCTATGCTGACTAGAATCGTTCAGATTTTGCAAGTGTGGACTTACCTGCAGAGTATTTCAGGAACTCAAACTGGGAGATGTCCAATTTGATGAGGTTGGTAGACCTGGCAGTGTCCCCATGGCCCGACACCTCCGTGGTATCCACCACTTTGGCACGGTGCCGTTTCCAGCGTCCAGCTGTCATGTTGGCCCGCGGCACAGGCTCGGGGGCGTTATCGGCAGTCTGCACCCACTTGACAACACGGAAGGGCACATGCGGCGCCTTCAGAACGATAACATCATCATCCATGGCGTAGGGAAGGAGCTCTTTGATGGCTGTGTGGCTCACCTTCATTCGATCAATCCATCAATCAATCAGCCCATGAATCAATCTTTCCATCCATCCAAGAAAATTCACCTTGTCCAATAGAACAATTGATCGTTAGACGGACTGACGCACAAGATTTTGAAGAACTCTGAAGTACCAATGGCCAAAAATCAACAAGTCACAGTGTCTGCAGTACCAGCAACGGCGGTAATTCTCTCACAGACCTCAGAGCAATATCTGTCTCCACGTTGCACCACATGGCAAAGACCCCACCCAACCCCCAGGCGCGTGCCTTACTTTTGTGTTGGACATGTACCACTGGACGACTTGTTTGACCCATGTGAGGAAAGTGTCCTCTTCGCCGCTTATGGCATCCGCCTTCGCCAATGGGACAATATTTCTCCCACCTCGTTGCATCACAAGGGCCATCACTGAGTCGGCAGCGGCACAGAATCTGCAATGCAGAATGGAAGCACATTCTCAAACGAAAATGCTGAATGGAAGAAATGCCTGCCTTCACTGTGCAGGTGCAAAGGCAGTGTTTTATGACACTCTGGATCACAGGTGTACAGCCAGCAAGACTGGGTTCAATGTCAATGGAATGCGTCATACCATGGCCATCCACCTTCAATTGCAATGAAACTGTTGGACTCTCGTCCACATAAAGAGTACTCTGCAAAACCGCCAATACAGCAGTTGTCCGAGACACTTGCACAGGAATTTGTGCTCAAAGATCATGGCTGTTCTTCAACCAAGCTCCCCCAAGAACATCCTCACAACAGTCCAATAGAAAATCCCTTGAGAGTCCTTGCCTTGAAGGGCAAGGGCAAGCTTCGGCCACTGTTTTACATAAGCTCTTCAACAGCACTGCGGCATAAGCCCACACCTTGGATAGGATGTGTCGCCGAACCCAATAACAGTGAAGGGCTTCTCGTGCATCTTCTCTTGCGAGGCCTTCTCTGACAGCCATGACAGCAGTGGCTTGGCAGCCTGGGGTAGTGCCCCACAGCCATAGGTGGATGTCATAAACACCCATGCAAGTGCTGACTCGAGCCCCTGTCTTTTGGGGTCGAAATCGGCCATGTTGACCAGTTCCACAGTCATGAAGTCCTTCAGCATTTGCTTCATGCGGTGCGCATATCGCCTGATGTTGCATCGATCAGTGTCACAAACAAAGGAAAAGGAGACCATGGAACCACCAACTTCCAGGTAGCATTTCAGCAAATGGGTTACAGTGAAGCACTGCTATGTACCCAGTCTCATGCCCACCCTGACAGAAAGGAAGAAGGGTCCTGCCACAAGGCCACCTGAGCATTCCACAAGAAACACACAACAACCAAAATGAAGCGCAATCCCAGAACAACAACACAACCACCCCACTGCGATGCCATTCAAGCATCTGAAAGAATGTCTCAGATGGGGGCCCAAGAGACTGCTACCAGGAAAGCTCAAGCTGAAGTTGCACAGTTGAAAGAAACCCACCGGCGGCCACTTGTCTCGCAAGCAAAAAGAAACCCACCTGGTGTTGCCCGACACACTGGCGTATAGGATGGCCAGGGACGGCCGCAGCGCATTCACCTTGCCCTTCATCCTGCCCAACACCCTGATGAGCGCCCAGTTGGCGAACAGGTTCACCACCTGCCTGTCCCCCCTCAGCGGCTTGTTCAGCCACCCGCAATATTTCACCCACCCTGGGGCCCGTGTGTATGCTGGCTTCAGGGTGTATTCGATCATCTTGTTCAGGCCCAGGTAGCATGGCGACGTGGAGGACGACATGGGCGAGATGATCCACTTCCAGTTGCCGGGGGAGTAGCCCCGGGTGGCCAGCTCCGTGTGGTACCACTCATAGAAGTTCTGCAGCAGTGTGTGGTGGTCTATCAGGCCGACTTTGGCCTCCCCGAAGCTGTGAAACACGGCCCGACAGAGCTCGTACATGGCGCCGTCCCGCCACATGCTGCCGTTGGTCTTGGTGTCCAATCCGAACGCCTCGGCGATCGCCGGCAGCTTGTTGTACCTGCCCTCGTCGGCAAGGTCCCGCACTATCTCCGTGTCCGCGAACCAGCCGTTGAAGGGCGCCGCGGTGAACGTTATGCCCCCCACCGACAGTTCAATGTCCGACACAAACGGAATCGCCACCCACTTCAGCCCAAGCGCCTGAAAGCCCTCGTTCTCCGGGTGCTGGATGTTCACCACCTCCACATAGGAAGGAGGGATTTCGAACACCTCGGGCGGCTCCCTGGGGTCCATTTGGAGCACCAGGGGCTGAATGTCGAATTCCCCCCTCTTCTTGGGGGCCTTCCACCCCAGCCCCGTCTCCAAGAACTCCGTGAAGGCCAGCTCAGCGGGATCGCCCATGACCCGCCCCTCGTCCGTCATGTAGGCGCAGAACTTGTGCAGCTGGCCGTTCCAGATCCTCGGCCCTAGCAGGCTGCCGGGCCTGGCCGGCCGGAAGGCCGCGATGTACGGCACCGTGGCGCGCGTCCGGATCGCCGTCTCCAGGTACTCCAGGCAGCATTTGAACATCTCCCCGTTCGTGGCCGCGGCCCTGTAGTCCAGCAGCACCAGCTCGCTCCAGTGGCCCCGGTTGCTGCACTTGGGGGCGTTGCGCCACGCCACGCGCGCGCCGTGCTGCAGCTCGTCGAACGTCAAATCGTAAGTTCCCTTGGTCTGTATCTCGGCCAGCACTTGGGCGATTCTCGCCTCCTTCACCTTCGGGGTCGACCCCGCCTCCCTGTGGTAAAGCTCCTGGTACTCCACCGCCTCGCGTATGAGCGTCTGCCGGGGCGTCTCGCCGGCGCCGAGCCTCTTTTTCGGCTGGCAGCCGTACTTGCAGATCGATGGGCACCGGCCGTGCACGTACCCCGGGTAGGGGTCCACCCCCACGCTGCCGTGGCCAAGGGGGCACCGCGATGACCCCGAGCACGCCCTGTCCTTGTCCGTTCCAAAGCTGCTCACAAACTCACCCCCCCTCGGGCTCAGCGGCCCTATCTCCCTCGCGGTGGGTCCATCCCCCGCCCTCCCGCCCTTGGACATCTTCTTCTTGGCCCAACGCCACAGCCCGCCGGACTCGCCCGCCTGCAGGCGCATCCCGCCGACCGGCCGCGGCCGACCGCAATCCCGGAGCGCTCAATTTCCGCCAAACTCGCCTCTTCTTTTTTCCGCTCCGCCTGGCCGAAGCGCCCTGGCTGCCCCTGGCAGGACTGCCCCTCTCCCAGCCGCAGCGCGGCCCCCATTCATGGGGAGTCAATACAGGGAGCTGCCTTTGCAACCGAAAATCCTGAGTCATGGCCTGCCCCCTGTTTGCAAGACGCCGGCCTAGCCGGGAGTCAGGCCAGGCGCAGCTGGGACGGTCATGCCGGCCCCGTTTTGGAGTGAGGGAGTGAGAAGCGTCTTGATGAGTGCGCCCCTGCCCCCCACCCCGCCTGCCTCTGAAAGGACAGGACCTTGTCCCACGCGCGATCTATGAAGGCAAATCGGGTCAGCCGATTCGGGTGGGCCGCGGGCTGCGGTTCTCGTGATGGGGAGGGCCAAGGAACGGGGCGGCAGCCGAGGGTGGGCTGCTCGGTGTGCGGCACGCTTGCCGGCGGCCAACCCGCGCTGCGCGGGTGCCTGTATCGGCTCCTGCGTGCTCATCGCGAGCAGACACAGCCGGGGCAAGGGGGGCCAGCTGCGCCAGTGAGGGAAGCAAATCCTTTCCCCTGCGCCGGTCTGGGGACATGGTCTCCACCAACGCGGAAGGAAGGGAGAGGAAGGCAAGCGCCGCCCTTGGACTGGCGAATGGTGGACTGGACGCCCCGGCGACGGGCGAGGAAAGTGAGGGCCGGTATTTGGGTCAGGTGAGGGTGCTGATGCACAACGGAGAGCCAGAGCCCGGCGCCCCTCTTCGCACGCACTCGGCTCCGTCCGCCGCTGCTCTCCGGCGACAGCAGATCTTCCGCCGGGCCTCCCCAGTGAACGCTCCATCATGGCCATCGTGCGCCATCATTCTGTCTGCACATCGCTGACGCGACGGGGCTGGACATCGCCGGCGCGAAGCCAAGTTGGAGGCGCCAACGGCCTTCCGTCCACTTTAGTCGGTCTGGGTCAGCTGTGACGCCCCGAACCCCGAAAACGAACCCAAGCCCATTCTTGTTGCCTCCATTCCATGCCACGAGGCACGCACAGCGTTTTGCTTTATCGAGTTCCAGGTGTGGTGCACCTGCCCCAGGGGCAACGCCGCCCTTCTACCAATGGCTTGCCGTAGGCTGATAAACGGCATCGACGGGAACGCACAGCCCTGTGTGCCGCAGGTACGAGAACCACGCTGCCGTGGTGGCGCGCCACCAGCCAAATTGCATCAACCTTAACCTTGCCGTTATCCATGCCGCCGTTGTCAGCGGAGCAGGTTGGTCGGACACCCAGCCGCCCACACGATGCTGACGGTACCGCAACCAGCAGACCAGGCGCACGTGCCGCCGTGCTGTGGCTTCTCCGCGGCTCCTTATCAGCGGCAGGGCCGCTCCCAACGTTGCCCCTCCCCCCGCTCCCCTATGCCCCGCGCCCCCTCCCTCTCCCCGCCCCCACACCCTCCCCGCGCCCTGCCGTGAAGCGTCCGATCGCCCATGGCCGTGTCCGCCAGCTCCCCGTCTTTGGGTGCGGCGATCGTGGTTGCTTTCTCCGTGCTCTCCGCGGTGGCCTTCACGGCATGCGGGCAGGGCATGTCCGCGGCCCGCCCGTTCGGCGCTCCAGCCCCCGCCGATCCTGATGGGCCCTCGGTGACAATCACCACCAGTCCGGCTCCGGGTAGGACCGCGTCCAATCGGCGGGGCTGCCTCGCCTATTGCCGCTCCAGGCTCGACGGGGCGCCGCCCTTCAAAGTGGTCAACGCCTCCACGGACGCGGGCTGCTGCGACCTCTGCTCCGCGGATGCCATGTGCAACGCATGGGTCAGGGACAACCGGACGTCCCTTTGCGCGCTGAGGAGCGAGACCTTCGATCCGGTCTTGGATCCAGTGGCGAATGAGAATTTTGTCGCTGGCCTCCCGGAGGCGGTATTGGATCCAGCGGAAGCTGATCTGGAGGACTGCCCGCCCCTGGGTGAGACGTGCGTGGCCTGTTCCACCATCGAATTCGCAGTTGACAGCCCTGTGGATGACGACGGCGGTGGCCCGCGGCGATTTCCGTGCTCCTCGTCCAGGGGGGTGGTTTTCACGGGGCGGCCCATCAATGGCGGGGGGCAGCGGACGGGCAGCGCGCAGGCGTGCTGCGACCTGTGCCAGAGGCGGGACGGGACCTGCTACCTGTGGTCGTGGCGCAGGAGCGACCGGCGGTGCTTCCTGAGGACCTTTGGAGGGCGGGCGAGGGACGGCAATTTCGTGAGCGGGTCGCTGTTCTGATCTGCGCTCGGTGCTCGTGGGGGGCACCGCGGGTGACGTGGCTGCGGGATTTGACAGGGGCGGTGTTTTCTGTTTCTGGGACCCACGTTAAGTTGCAAAGATATGTACGGTTGCTCAAACAATTTCGGGGGCGATTTTGTGACGATGGCTTGTGCAGCATTGTACCCCAATCATTCAGCATTATACTCAACATGTTGTAAGTTTCAAGCAAGGTTTGCATTGTATCGATGCCTCTTCCGCACACCAGACTGGTTTCGCACACTGGGCAAAGCACCGCACACTGGCCATTCCTGGATCTTAGGATCATCCTGACCAAGATGTTGATATTCAACCCATGGTCAGGCCATCGGTACGACAAGGGAGGAGAATTTCAGCATACATGCAGCCGTTTGTTGTGACTGGGGAGCAACGATGCGCAATTCTTTCAATATGCATATATATGAGTTGTGAATTGTGTGTATGAGTTGTGCATTCAATGTATTGAATGCTCCATATGGAGCAGCGCTCGGTCAACAAAACGATTTTCAAATGCTGCACATATTTCTCATCATTAGCAAATTCTCACAGTCGCTGCAACACACATCGAAACTTGGGTAATCTGGAGCGTTGTTGCACCTTACATTCAGGGATCAGCTCGAGGCTTCCTAGGCTCGCAGGAAACATTGTGTGCATCTTTGTTGCTCAGTGCGCTGGAGGCTTTGGCTGCCCTATTTTTGTACTTGGTTAAGTGGTTCCAAAGCGCCTTCCACTCACCATAAGGAATTGTGGCCACTGCAATTGTGAGAATTTCCCACGCATGTTCTGCACAAATTGTGTGATACTTGTGTTGCAATTGTCAATTTGGTACGTAGCTATTTTGCACACCATAGTTCCAGGGCAGCAATTAGGAGGCAGCTTGTCATTTTCGCTTGTGCTTAAGTTTTTGTGCATAAAACCGCAAATTTGCAAAGGGTGCTATTTATATGGCTGCACGTACGTTTTACTGCTCGTTGTGTCACTTGTGTTACACGATAAAATTTGCGAACAGTGATCAGCCCTCCGCCCCCTCGAGCACCTGAAACATAGCGTCGACTTTGCACTCAACAAGGGCCACGACGGCTTGGAAAAAGCCTCGTTGCCTGCCCATTTCAGCGCGCCTTGCTGCCATTTCCCGGACTCCCGAGGCCTTATGTACTGTCCTCATGTACAAAAGGCTATGTTTAGATTGCATTTACGTATTTTTATGCGTTATTACGTTTAAAGAAATAAAATTCATTTTTACGTGTGAGCATTACGTGTAAAAACGTAAGGATGATATGTGGTTACGGCATAACTAATAAGCCTGTTAGGAGCCTTTTCTGTTGCTGAATTCGATGTCAATGATGTGTATTTTTCAATGATGTATCATTGTCAATGATGCATACAGTAACGCTGCCAAATTCTTGCGCTCCAGATCATCCCTCCCTCTCGCCCTACAAGTGCAGGGTCCTCGTTGTAGGGGCCATCGATGACAACAACCAATTGTTGGCAATGCCACTTTCATTATTCCATGGACTACGTTGAGCAGCCATGAAGCGATGCGACGTTGCGCAAGGTGAACTTGTATGAATATCAACTTCGGTATATGCGTATCCAGGATGGCAGCAGTCATATTCGACATCCAGGATATGGGGATTGTCGAATTTACTATTGATTCCTTACATGAATGCTACGCATCAAGGCCTGCCTGTGGTGCTTGGAAAGTACACAGCATATTGATAACCTAATTTTCTTAGATTCGACTCAGCATAAGTGAATCGACTCAGCATGTGTGAGAGGGGCTGACAGATACATCAAGACAAGTTCCTGTACCTTGAGAAACAGGTCCAGGTTTAGATATTTTTCAAGTTAAGTATACAAAGACAAGTTCGAGTATGAATACATAATGAGAAACGCACTGGAATATGTTGAATGTGTGCACTTAGTGTGTACCTCTCTGCTCCACAGCAGTTCCGCATGCAGCGGACAGTAGCATAATCTCACACTTTCTGGTATTCGTTTGGGCATCGCCGATGTGACAAATACATAGAATGGCAGGCCGTTATTGATTGGCCATTCGATGCACATGTTGATGGTTTTGAGACTGCGACAGTACCATTGGATCGCTGGGTGGAGAGGTTTAGCAACCCCATTTACCTCTTGATGGTATTGATTGGAATATTACTAAAGTACCAGCCCATGGGCTGGCTTCATTTTGGCGTTTCCCTACACAACAGCTGGAATATTATTTTCTTGCTTGTATCCCAGTGACCAGATTGAAATTGGTGCTCCAATTTTGCGTCCGCTACTGGCAGGCAGGCTCGTCCCTTGCTGTATCTGATGGCGTTGAGAATTTCAAATCTGTCGCAATGAAGTGGCCACACTGTTGGCAATGTCCAAAAGCCGAATTTCCATCAATTCAGTTGAGAAATAGGACTCTTATGGATTGAGGCGAATTATGAGCAGTCGCGTTTCCTTCGCCAGGCGTCGCCTGATGCATTGCCAGTTCCAATATACGTGGACAGAAAAAGGGCCTGCACACAGGCTTCTTCACCATGGCGTGACAATATTCCAAACATAATTCACACAATATTATTCAATTTACGTATATAGCCGCCGCTCACTAATGGATGTTGAGCTCTGGTAACGTCACTACTGACCACAGTTCCTTGTTGATCGGCCACAGAACGGGTCATCAGAACTCAAGATCTGCGGGGACTAGAGTCTCCATGCGTCAGTGCACATCGCGGCCTGCTGGTGCGGCAATCGCGATGAAAACCTCCATGGCTAGGTTCCTGCGAGGGTTTGGCATATTCCCAAAAGGGCTTTGAGAAACGTTACACCCAGTTATCATACAACATCCCCAAATCCCGCAGCTTATCTTCTTGCCAGCATCAAATGCTGATTGGATGGAGGCAGGATAAGAATGGGGCGATACACGCTTGCTCAGAAAAACCCGTGTGACTTGCGTTTCTCAATTATGCTAGGCTTTCCACATCCCAATGTAGACCCACGCAATATCATGGCACCACCAGAGCCAGGGCACCAAGTGTCCATATGGCAACTGAATGCCAGCAATAAATCCCATAATATAGCGAATACAGCACCCAAGTTCTCTAGAGCATCCCCGTTCTGTTCAATTTGTTGATTTCAAGATGCACGTCATTCGTTGGTACAGTTCTCAATTACCGTCCTCTGTGAGCCCAAGAACTCCCCCCCTCCTCCCTAGTTTAGATGGCTGTTCCCGTAGAAATTATCTCATCGATCCAGGTTCGGATGGTGGCGATGCAAATCATATGCACAGTGCTTTCGTCGCCCAGGGCGACACTCGGCCGGGCGTAGATGCCAACAAGCAGGTCCAACTCAGGAGTCCCTGATTCAATGGAGAAGTCGGCAGCCTGTTTAAAGGCATGGTTTGCCTCATTGGCTGAGGGGGAGTCCAAAAGGACTGCTATGGCACCTGAAAACATGCACATACGCATAAAATATTTTGTATGTTCGCGTGAGATAAGGCATATTCACATGAAACAATTTGCTGCTATGTCACTCTTGTGCAAACTTTAGGTGCCTGTGAGTGCAATGGAGTGATCAGTATTGCTCGACATCGATGTGGCTGTGATGTCATGGATGTACATGATGGGGAACACAAAAAATGTCATGAAGACACCCCTCACGGTCCATCCTGGAGAAGGGCTACAATCTCAAGCTTCCAAGCCTAGAACCTTGCTAGAACCTCACACGGCACAGCAATGCTGCAAGCATCCGTTTTGGGGACAATCAGAAATCGCTTTGATTACAGCTACTACTGTAACACAGCATAGCAACGTAGCAGCATAACAAGAAACATAACACAGTATAGTATTGTGATGAGCCCCGCAAATTTACGTCAAACAAGACAAGCTACTGCCCTTGGACAGATTGGAGGGACGTTCAGACAGTGTCTGCAGCCGCGAAAGTCTATTGCAACTCACTGTTGAGAAAACGACCCCCTCGCCCCGGGAACAGTACCTGCAAGGTCACGCATCCCGGCCGACCCAGAGAGAGAAGTGCAATTCGCCGACCCATGTGGGCTGTAGCATGGAGGGTCAGCATCCACGGGCTGGGTGCTGATGATGACGCTCCCCGGGACGCTGGCGGGGCTCGAGGGCCACACTGCATGGAAGGGGATGTCCTGGGTGATGCAGAACGTGGGGTCGGCAAGGACTGCCGTCGGTCCACCAATTGGCGTTTCCAGCGCCAAGATCGCCGCATCGTATTCATCATTGGCCAGCCTTGTCCAATTGGGATGGATGTGTGCCCTTTGTCCCCAGAGACCCTTCAGTGGAAACAACAAAGCGAACGCTCGTTCGGAAATGTGGGACTGTCAAGGGTAAGAATGGGTGTCATACGTTTGCGTGCTCTCGCACAACTCAACCAAATGCATGTCCTGTTGACTGGAAATGTGGAAGCGATGGCAACATTACAGGGCGCCGTGGCAGGATGTCGTGCTCTAACTATCTCTGCCTTCCAGACAACAAATACTTGAGGGTAGATGCGCATCCAGCTGCGCTAGACCAGCACATGCACACAAACGCCAAAACTGCATGCATACACCAACAATTGACTACCACAATTGTGAATGTGCGCATGGCGATGTTGCCCAGACAAACGTAATCAAAATGTAATGCATAGCAACAAAGTGCGTATAAATTAAGACATGAAAAAGGAAATAATTCTTAGATGTAAGCGAACAGAATTTAAGCATGTAGCGTGTAAATCTGAATAAGTACTTATTCCATCCCATATTATTTGTCGTCTACGATTTTGTGGCGTTACTTCACAAACATGCCTACTTCAGTTTTCAATGAAAATTTTACCCCAAATTTGTGTGAGGTTGGAATATACTACCAAAATTTCAAGTCAATTAAGTGTTGAGTCCATTAAGTGTTGAGCATTTGGCAGTAATTTGTAGCAAGGGTCCTCCGGCAAGAATAGGGTCGTTTTTTGGCGTTGCACCAGAAAAC